TTATCATTGCTATTATTGGTGGTAGCAGCAGTGAGAGCCCATGCCCTTCCAGGGAACTCTCAGTTACCTCCCCGGGCATGACGTGCTGTGGTATGGAATACCTCTTTGGCTAGCTTGGGTCAGGTGTCCTGTCTGAGCTTCCTCCTGGCCTCCCCTCCTCCCTGGCAGAGCATGAGACACACAAGTCTTTGGTCAGAGTAAACATGACTTAGTAACAACTGAAAACATCGGTGTTATCAGCTCTGTTCCCAGGCTGAAAGTCAAAACACAATGCTGCACCAGCTACTAAAAGGAGAAAAAACTGACGGCTGCTGCTAAATCCAGGACATTTGTTTATCTATATTTCAGCCTGCTCTTAGGCTATACAGCTGGCGCTCTCTCCTTGCTGATTTTTTTCTTACTCCAAGGCAGTTTTTTCACAATACAGGAATGTTCTCTACCTGAACTTTGTCTTTCTTTTCTAATATGTATGCATGAAACTGAGGGCATCCTTTCACAACTTGAGTTTTATGTTACGCAGGAATAATGGGTTGAGTTGTAGAAACAGTGAGTGATATGTAGGCCATGGCTTTTTCAAATTACTGCAAGAGAGAAGAAGTTAATACTGTGTTAGAAGGCCAAGGACTTGTGCTTTCTAGCACATTGTGAGCAGATTGGAAGTCTGAGGAACATAATGAAGAATTTGGTAGTTTGTGTGTCATTAAATTAATATTTGCCACTGAATGAAGAGTTTCAATTTCCTCAATGTGAGAGTGAGCAAAGTACAATAGCTGAAATAAATGTCACATGTTTAGGAACACTGTCAGCATGACTAATTTCTGATTTTATTCACAACTGTGTGCAAAATGCAGTGATAGAATATGGAAGATTAATGTAAAAAGGCTATTGAATTTTTTGTTTGTTTTCCAGGAAGCGATTTCAGGAATCCTTGTCTTAAATGACCTGAGATTTGGAGTTCTGCCTATGTGGCATCCCAGATTTCATGGCTGTAAGATGAGCATGTGAGCTTTAAAGTGCTTTGAATATACGATAATAATAAAAATAGGTACTTAAGTAGAACTGAATTAACTCAGTTGAAGTATTTATGCAGTGTTAATGCAAACTTGCATATTAAGCATTAGGGTATTAATCTTTGATATTTCATCTGTGTTTTTATATTTAACCATTTTTATGAATTTCAGTGCTAGCTGTAAACTAAAATGACTGAAAGAAGTTGGCACATGGAGTTGATGCAGATTTCTACTACTGGAGCAGGTGGATGGCAACACATGGTACAGCAGGACAGTTTGTGTTGGTTGTCATGCTTATGGGGGCTACAGTGAGCTTCATTTTCTGACCATTGTGTAAAAGTTAATATTCAGTTCCAGTCTGCCTTTAACTGTCAAACTGCAGTTGCCAGGAATTTGCTGTGGTCAGACATGTAGCAGAAAGAATTTTAAAACATTTATTTAATATATTTATTTTATTAGAGGGGAATTTTCTAGTGAAGATCTTAAATACAAGGTCACAGGGATGAATGGTGAAATTCTGGGATCTTGTGTTCCCTTTTAAATAGTGGGATTTGCATGTTCATCTTTTATTTCTTCTTTACTCCTATCTATTCTGTCCTAGTTAATCTAAACTTTCACAGTCATTACACCTTTCTCATCTCTCATACTGGAAACATGTTTTAGCTAGTAATGAGTCCCACACTGTTGTATGTTTAATTCCAAACTCTTCATCCTAAGTTTTGTGTATTTTTATTTAATTTATTTTCATAACTTCTTTCCTAGTGGTTCCTTTGTGCTGAGCTTTGTATGGCCTTTCTTCTAGACCACTGAACCTTTGTGAGGGAAGAATGTCTTGTTTACAGTCACCTCTTCTGCCCTGATCTGAACCCAACAGAGCCCAGAGCAGTCAGTGGCTGTGGGGCAGATTCTTGTCTCCAGCAAGGACCATGTCTAAGATGCATGTAGTTTTTAAAGGAATGAAAACCTCACTCTTGACTTCCACTGATCAGATGTAACTTGGTTCCTTTTTTTTTTTTTTTCCAGAGGCTTAGAAGTTACTCAGTTGTGGGTTTCCCGCATGCCTTTCCTCTCTGTTTTGTCTGTCTGGCAGAACTGTTATTCATATCAAAAAACATACACCATGCCTCACCTGCAGTACTGCGTTCAGCTCTGGAGTCCTCAGTACAGGAAAGACACAGACCTGTTGGAGAGGGTCCAGAGAAGGGCCACAAAAATGATCAGAGGGATGGTGCACCTTCTTTGAAAGTCAGTTCTAACCCAAACTATTCTATGATAATACCATAACAGCTGTAAGGCATAGTAAACATTCACTCAAACATGGAGCTCCTGTTGCAAGCCTGGAGAGCATGCAGAGAGTACGTTCCTTTGATTATGTGCATTTATGGGTTTTTGTCACTTTTAAAAATAAAAAATTGGTATTAATGAATGCCTGCTCTGCTTGCAGCCTGTTAGGACCAAAAGGTCTCTACTTCTGTGAAACATAGTTGCCCATTCACTCTGCTTGAGTGAAAAGTAGGTGTCTTACTAATACCACATGAATATAATTTGTGTCCTTTTATGGAGCCAAAGGTAGTGATACGTTTCAGACATTTATAGCAGTTTCCATTTTTGTTTTCCATGTCCATTTGAAAAAATAATTACAGAATAAAAGTCTTCTATATATGAGAAATACTAAGAAACTGCGAGCCATAGCTGTAGTTCACTATAGTATCAGCTGTACTTTCACAAATGTCTTGCAAGTTTTTGGATCTTGTTCAATTTATTTGTTCCATTTTTTTGTGCGATAGATCATATATAAAGGAGGAGTGTCACGAGGATGGAGCCAGGCTCTTCTCAGTGGCAAACAATGATAGGACAAGGGGCAATGGGTACAAACTGGAACACAAGAGGTTCCACTTAAACTTGAGAAGAAACTTCTTCTCAGTGAGGGTGACGACTGGAACAGGCTGCCCAGGGAGGTTGTGGAGTCTCCTTCTCTGGAGACATTCAAAACCCGCCTGGACACGTTCCTGTGTAACCTTATCTATGTGTTCCTGCTGCAGCAGGGGGATTGGACTAGATGATCTTTTGAGGTCCCTTCCAATCTCTAACATACTGTGATACTGTGATATTTACTTCTAATGCTTGTGTAAGTAATACGATTAGGGAAAAATACTTCATTACAGAGTATCTGTCAGCCTGTGCTTGTTTTCAGCAAGCTAGATGTTTATTAAAACAGGAACATTTTATGTTTAGCCTGTTAAGGTACTGCAGTAGAATAACCAAGCCTTGTACTTTTACTCAACAGCAGCAATGAGATGATGCTGCCATTAACTATAAAAGGATATTTGTTGATATTAAAAGAAAAAGAATTAATGCAGGGTTAAAAAGATCTTTGGATGCTGATACTAGAAAATAAATTAAGCTCTTCCGTGAGGATATAAAATTATCATCATCATCATCATCATCATGGCTTGACTTCGCGAACGAAGATTTGGGAAGGGCTTTTACCCACGCTTACTACAAGCGCGCTGATGACTAAGAAGGCCAATGTGGGATAGGCAAATCCGGCTACAAAAAGCACAGCAGAAGGTCTCCTTGGGTGGAACAGGTGGGACACGATTCTTCCTGCGTTGTCTTTCCTCCTCGAGACTAGTTCTTCGTGAGCACTCAAAGGAGTCAGCGGCATTATGTATGGTGTGCCTCCAAGTCTCCCGATTGGAGGTTAAGGTGGACCACTGATGGTAGTCAATGTGGCCAAGGCTAAGGTATTGTTTCAGGGAGTCCTTATATCTCTTCTTTGGGGCACCTCTCTTGCGGCTACTGGTGGCAAGTTCACCATAAAACACGATCTTGGGGAGGCGGTGATCCTTCATTCTAGAGACGTGCCCTGCCCAGCGCAGCTGCAATTTCAGCAATATGGCCTCGATGCTGGTGACCCCTGCCTGTTCGAGGACAGTGACATTAGACACATAGTCAGTCCAATGGATGTTTAGAATTGTACGGAGGCAGCACTGATGAAAGCGTTCCAGGAGTCGCAGGTGATGACGGTAGATGACCCATGATTCAGACCCATATAAAAGAGTAGACAATACAATGGCTCTGTAGACACTGACCTTTGTACTTTTCTTCAGGTGTTTATTACACCAGACTCTTTTATGGAGTTTTCCAAAGCCTCTGTATGCCTTTGCTATTCTGTTGTCTATCTCTTTGTCGATCGTGGCATCCGAGGAAATGATGCTTCCCAG